GTCCGTGTCCCGGCGCTCCTCTTCTAATCCAGTTATCTGTGTATGGCCTGGGAAAGCAGTGGAAGATGGCCTGGAAGAAGCTCCTGGCTCCTGGTTTCAGATGGGTCCTGCTCTCGCCATTGCGGCCAATTTGGGAGTGAACCAGCAGATGAGAGACCTTTATCTCTGTCTCTCCCTCTCTCTGTCTATAACTCTACCTCTCAAATAAATAAAATCTAAAAAAAAAAAAAAAAAGACATTACTTAGGAAGCCTGGATCCTACATCAGAGTACAGGAGTTCAAGTCCCCATTGATTTTGCTCCTGATTCTGGCTTCCTGCCGATGCCCACTCGGGAGGCAGCAGATTATGACTCTAAGTACTTGGGACCCAGTCACCCATGCAGAAGTCTGATTGCATTCCTGGCTTCCACCTGGCCAAGGGCAGTTATTGGAAGCATTTGAGGAGTCAATCAATGGATGGGAGCTCACTCGCTCTTTCTCTCTCTCTCTCTCTCTCTCTCTCTCTCCAAAATAAAAAACAAACAAATAAGAATTACTAAGGAAAGTGGGGAGAAAGCAAGTGCCTTGTTCCAGATCACCAAGCTGGGATATAGAAGAAGCAGAGTGGCTCTGCTCTGTGCTCCTGAGAAGAGGGGCTGGCAGCCCTCCCTCCCCAGCGTGAGCCAGGCACAGTGGGAGGGGTGTCCTGGCCCAGAGAGGGAGCTGCTCACTCTCCTAGGCAAGGAGGGGTCACCTCCTAGTCACTGAACAGAAAATACTGAAACCCCCTCATTAGACATTTATGGTAGTTTCCAGCTAAATTTAGATTCTTTGAGTCCTTTGTTGGGAGAAGATGGGGTATGCATTATTTATAAATTAATTAATTACAGTGGGAATTAAGCAACAGAACTAACACTGAAATTAAGAAGAGAGGCAGAAAGTTCCCAATGGCTGAATTCACAGCAGAAAACCACTGAAATACATATTTTTTATTAGTCAGGAGGCTTGACAGAATTTCTTGGCTAATAAACTAATGTGTTCTGATCTGAAATGAATGCTTTCATTTAGCCCATATACGTTGCATTTACACTGAGTTAAAGTGAATTCTCCTAACTAAGATAATTTCAAATAACTTAAATGACCTCAGTCACATACAGTGTTGATGTGATTAATGTGAATCTAAGAATGCTTTACTATGACAAAAAGGATTTCTGTACTACTGAATACATTTTTATTCTTGAGACACTGCTAGTTTAATTTCTATATGAATATATTATATAAAAATTCTAAAGAGAACATTAAAAGTAACTACTTGGATTTTTGGGGTATTTTTATTATTTTCTATTTGTTTGAGGGAGGGAAGGCGCGTTCATCGGCTGATTCACCTCCCCAAATGCCTGCATGGCCAGGGCTAAAGCTGGGAGCCAGAACTCAGTCCAGATCTCTCCTGTGGCTGGTGGGAACCCTGTTATGTGAGCTATCACTGCTGCCTCCCAAGGCCATGTTTACAGGGAGCTGGAGTCAGGAGCCAGAGCCAAAAACTGAACCCAGGCACTCCATGGGAGACCCGGATGGAATTCCAGACTCCTGACTCCAGCTTGGCCCAGCCTGGGATGTTGAAGACAGTTGGGGAGTTAACCAGCCAAAAGAAGTGCACGTTTCTCTTTCTCTCTCTCTCTCTCTCTCTCTCTCTCTCTCTCTTTCTCTTTCTCTTTCTCTTTCTCTTTCTCTTTCTCTTTCTCTTTCTCTTTCTCTTTCTCTTTCTCTTTCTCTTTCTCTTTCTCTCTCTCTCTCTCTCTCTCTCTCTCTCTCTCTCTTTCAATTAAATGAACACAACAATTAAAGGTGGAAGAAGATTGGATTCACCCTCTCTCTGAACAATTGCTGAACTGGGACATCATCTTTTCTGTCTTTTCTGCCCTTAACACTCCTGGTTCTCAGGCTTCAGACTGGGAGTAGGATCTACCCCATCAGCCCACTAGTTCTCAGGTCTTCAAATCACATCACTGGCTTTCTTGGGTCTCCTGTTTGTTGGTGGCAGCTCTTGGGACAAATCAGGTTCCATATCATGAGAGCCAATCCTTTATGACAGGTAGGTAGATAGGTAGGTAAAGAAGGAAGGGGAGGGGGGAGAGAGGGAGAGAAAGAGGGGGGAGATTAGAGATTGGATACACTGGATAAATTGGATAGACGGATGGATAGATAGATAGACAGATAATCCCAATGAATATGTTTCTCTGGAAAACCCCAAAATACTGTGTGAGAATGTGAGCATGAATTGTTCAAGAGGTCATAATACAGAATGTAAAGATAACTTCACAGTATTGTAAATGCAGTAGCAGAAAAGTACCAGATTGTGTGGAAAGTGTACTCACTGTAGGGCATACCTTGACAATTGCTTTTAAAAATGCTGATATCAATAAATTATATGATCACTTGCCCCATTATCAAAACTGAAGCTGGTCCGAGTGCAGTGATATTTAGATGTTTACAACTAATTGGTCACAACAAGTTACAGATTTCTTTGGGGCCAGTGCTGTGGCGTAGAGGGTAAAGCTGCTGCCTGCAGTGCCATCATCCCATAAGGGCTCTGGTTCAATTCCCGGCTGCTCCACTTCTGATCCAGCTCTCTGCTGTGGCCTGGGAAAGAAGTGGAAGATGGCCCAAGCCCTTGGGCCCCTGCACCCACGTGGGAGACCCAGAAGAGTCTCCTGGCTTCAGACTGGCCCAGCTCTGGTTGTTGCAGACATTTGAGGAGTGAACCAGCAGATGGAAGACCTCTCTCTTTCTCTCTCACTCTCTACCTCTGCCTTTCTGTAACTCTGCATTCCAATTAAATAAATATATAAATCTTAAAAAAAAAATAAAAGTGAACTGCAAGGGTGTTGTGGCATGGCAGGTAAAGCCTCCACCTACAACACCAACATCCCATATAGGCACTGGTTCAAATCCCTGCTGCTCCACTTCCAATCCAGCTCCCTGCTGATGCACCTGGGAAAGCAGCAGAAGATGGCCCAAGTGCTGGGGCCCCCAGAAACTCCTGTCTCCTGGCTTCTGCCTGGCACAGCCCTAGCTGTTGTGGCCATTTAGGGGGTGAAACAGCACATGGAAGATACCTTTCTCTCTCTCTGTCTCTCTCCCTTCCTCCTTATTTCTAACTGTACCTCTCAAATAAATTAATAATAATAATAAAATGAATTGCAAACAAACACAGGCTTGTTAAAGTGTTACTGCATGGTGAATAACAAGACACATTAAAAATGACTTGTTTGAATTTCATTTCCCCAACCAGGAAAAACAGTATCTTTATGTTATTATTATTATAATCCTCAACTGTTCTGAAAATCACACAACATGTACCATAACTGTGATACCATATCTCAGTACATTGTTCCTTGTTTATCAGCCAATTAAGAAAAAGCAATCCATTGGGTGAAAAAGTGGTTTGTGTATATTGTATTTTTAAAGTACCTCACATTCATGTCTAAATCCAAGTTGTTTTCAAATTATTGACAAATTCTATCTTGCTTTTATCCTTCTGAGTATTTGTTTTCTTTTTAAGGAAAACCTATTAAGGAATTTTTCTGAAACAAACAAAAGATGTTAGTTCCCTTTTTTACATCCTGTTTTACAACCGTTTCCTATCTACACATTTCAGAAGAGACTATAATGGCTCAAAGAACAAGCCAGGGTTATAATTATGCCTACTGTTCATCGACTCTTCTCAAAGACTACCCCAGACCACCATCAGAACCCATGAGCACTTGTTAAAGATACACACTCCTGGGCTCCACCCCAACCCACTGAATCCGATGCTCTGGGAATGAGACCCAGCCAGGTCTTATCAAGTCCTCCGGCTGACCTGATTCTTACACACATCCAAGTTTGACTGCCACTGCTCTATTTAGATAGAAGAATATTTTAAAATGTGAAGGGATTTATCCAAAGCTTTCATTAGGTTATGTGCTTCAAGACCATTTCTCCCCATTTTCAATGTCCCAATTCTGTATAATGCCCTAATTTACACTTTTGAAACATCAGCACATACTTGCCATCAATAAAATGGTCAGTGATTCCATCCAGTTTTCCCTAATTTCATATGGAAGCGAAACCCAGATATTATCCATAGTGCATGCACCTGTAATATGAAGTGTCCCAAATAACCCAGGGTAATTTGATCATTCTCCTCACAGCTATCATCTCTGTAGTCAGATCAGCATGGGTGCCTCCAACAGAACCACAGATGAGGACTACTTCACACTGAGTTTCCTGGCTTGATAAGATTTTTTAAACACATTGCAAATGTAAGAACCAGCACTGTGGCGCAGCGGGTTAAGCGACCAGCTACAGCCCCAGCAACCCATATGGGTGCTGGTTCAAGTCCCAGCTGCTCCACTTCAGATCCAGCTCCCTGTTAAAGTGCATGGGAAAGCAGTAGAAGATGGCCCAAGTCCTTGTGCCCCTGCACTCACATGGGAGACCAGGAAGGAGCTCCTGGCTCCTGGCTTTGTACTGGCTCAGCTCCAGCTGTCACAGTCATTTGGGGAATGAACCAGATGGAAGATATCACTCGTTCTCTCTCTCTCTCTCTCTCTCTCTCTCTCTCTGCTTCTGCATTTCCCTCTCTGTAACTCTGCCTTTCAACTAAAATAAATTTTTTTAAAAAATTGCAAACATATACATGTTTTTCTCAACAAGATACAGTACATTTTATATTGTTTTCATGTAAATAACACTGTCATTAGGATAAAATTTTATTAATAGACCTTAATGTGCCCCAACAAATAAAATTGACTTCTCTAACAAAATGGAGAAAGAGTGTGTTTCACTTCATATAAACTGACCTAAAAATTAAAGGAGAAACGATTTTCTGGAAAATTGCTACTTGAATAAATAACAAGCACCCAGTGAAACGGTTCTTTTCTTAACTGCTCTCCTGGGGTTTGCTAGCTGGAGGGAAGAGGGCAGGTAAACAGACAGGGTTCCGGGCCCACCAAGGAGGGGAAACGTGAAATCAGACGGATCCAGGAAGCAGGTGAGATTTATTCACAGTGCAGGGCAAATTATGAAGCCAGAACCAGGCAGGGACGGATCATGAGGGGCGAAGTGCGAGTTTGTTCTCCACAGTGGTCAGAAGCCATTCAAGGCGGCAGGTCAGTGCCATGATCAGTCCAGCCTTAGAGACCAGTCGGTTGCCCCCAAGCATAGAAGGACGCATTCCAGGCTGCAACTAGAACACCAACGGCCGTCAGGAGAAAGGTGGGAAGAGCTGAAACTGAAAAGCAGTGTCAGTGGTCAAAAGGAGAAGAAAACAGATTCCCAAGATGGAGGGGAGGAAGAATAAAGAGACATCTACTTACTGGAGAGCTCTCCTTAGGAAATAACCAAGCGCCTCCAGCCTTCTCGCCAGAGTCCAAACACTACAATCAATTAACTAATTAATAAATTAAAATCTTGACTGCTTTACTAACTATTTTAAAATTACTCCTGAATTTTAGCCAAAAACAAATACTGCTTGCAAGAAAAGGGAACACCAACCTTCTATCAAACACAGACAGTTGCACTCAGTCTAACTCGAGCAGATCACTATACACACACACACATGAGCACACATACAATGTTGCATACATATGTGTATTCACACACATGTTGCATACACACATGTGCATACACATGTGTGCAGCCACGTGCATGCGTGTGTTGTGCATGCACACACATGTGCGTGCATAAACACAATCACTAAAATGTAACCTTAAAATTGAGTCTGGGGGCCAGCACTGTGACATAGCTGGTAATGCTGCAGCCTGCAGTGCTGGCATCCCATAAGGATTCTGGTTTGAGTCCCAGCTGCTCCACTTCCAGTCCAGCTCTCTGCTATGGCCTGGAAAAGCAGTGGAAGAAGGCCTGAGTGCTTGGGCCCCTGCACCCCTGTGGGAGACCTGGAAGACGCTCCTGGCTCCTGGCTCCTGGCTTTGGATCAGCTGAGCTCTGGTCATTGCAGCTATTTGGAGAGTGAGCCAGAGGATGAAAGACTTGTCTCTCTTTCTCTCTCTGCCTTTCTAAATAAATAAATAAATAAATAAATCTTAAAAAAAAGTCTGTTTAAAAAAGAAAATTGAGACTGTCCATATTAGGCACACTCTCCTCGCTCAGCCCCATCTCCTAACTGGGTCAGTTCTGTAGAATTACTAGAATTACTTTCTGAGCAGCCAGTGCTACCACCACAAGCATAGATTTTCTGGTTACCTTTTTTTTTAAGATTTATTTATTTATTTGAAAGGTAGAGGAACAGAGATAAGCAGAGGTCTTCATCTGCTGGCTCACTCCCCAAGTGGCTGCAATGGCCAGAGCAGGGCTAATCTGGAGCCAGGAGCCAGGAGCTTCTTCTAGGTCTCCCTCATGGGTACAGGGGCCCAAGGACATGGGCCATCTTCTACTGCTTTCCCAGGCCATGGCAGAGAGCTGGATCAGAAGAGGAGCAGCCGGGACTCGAACCTGCTCCCATATGGGGTGCCGGTGGCACAGCAGGCAGTGCTCTACCCACTACACCACAGCGCTGGCCCCTTCTGATTACCTTTAAAAAGTCCATGTTTGCTTCAAGGAAATGAACTTCCAGCACATTTTTTTTAGTCCTTTGGGCTCTTCTGTGTCTCCACTCAAGATAACGTCCTTTCTCCAGCTTAGCATCTTCTCATTCTGCTCATTGTTGGGAGAGTCCCCAGGTGAGAATAGGGCAGGCTCTGGGACTCACTGCTCCATGCTCCAGTTTGTGAATACCATTTGGGCAGTACTCAGGGTTGGTTGCCAAGGCATGGTTACCACGGTAACATCACCAGATAGCATTATTTTAAAAACAACAACAAGTTAAAAGTATTTCCAATGAAAGCATGAGCGAAACAGTCAGGGTCCAATGAAAAACCAAATTTCTTTGCTACTGATTAACTTCCCTCTTCTAGGGATACAATATTAAAAAATAAAAAGAAATGTTTAGAAGAAGCAGCCATTCCCCAGGGGAATATGAAAGAGGCATAGTCTACTTGTCTATTTTTTGACTTAACTCACTCTGAATTTTTCAGCTGGGAAATTTCCTGATTGTTAGCCGTTAACCTGTTGTAGGGGAGGAATCGCGTCTGCTCCCCCCCACCCCCCGACACCGTTGCTGCCACCTCTGGCATCCTGGTGAGGTCAGGGTTGAACCGGAGCCCCTGAACCCTCCTCGACCTCATGCGCAGAAATCTCACTACCGTGAATCTTCAGGACGAACCGTGGAACACATCAGTCCCCCACAGGTGATACTAACGGCTGGGCTTACACAAAACTAATTTCCTAAGTCAAAACTGCTTTACTGTGTAAGCTGTGGTATTATATAATGTGCTATTGAGCTGTCCTGTCTCAATAAACATTTTTTTTCTATTCTTGGAAGATTAAAAAATTAGATTAAATTATGCAATTTCCATCTCTTTCAGTTTTTGAATGCCAATGGTTATTGAAAGCCCTACTTAAATATAAATAAATGAATATGCATTTTGTATCTAGAGACACCCAGTAGTTTTTCCCTTCGAAGACACATGTCTTTTTTTAATGCACATGTGATAGATGGCTCCTGCATTTTCCTAGCATCTGAATTCTGAAGTTCTAAGCAGTAATCAAAGCTGCGGGAGCTGACCCACTGCAACTTCAGCACCATGGCAAAATCAGCCCCTTTGTTCTAAGGCTCACATTTCCAAAGACGCTCTCAGCAGTCTACTTTTTGTATGACTCCAGTGTATGCAGCTTTTCCCCTGAACCTCCGCTCATCCCTACAACTGAGATTCCTAAATGCAGCAAGCTGTTCTTTCTTTTTCATCAGCAACGTGTGAGTGCAGATGGGCTACAGGAAATAAACTGGGGTCATGCAGGCATTCCGGGTGTGTGTCCTCTGTGACATCCATTCAGGAGTTACGGAAATTTGGAAGCTGGCACTTGCACATTTAAAAGTATGTCACTTACGGGGGGAGGGGAAAAAGAAGAGTTCACATCATTGCTGAACTAGGGTTCTTTGTGAATAAGGGCAAGAGGCTTTCATGGAAGCCACAGGCCAGAAACTCACGAAATTTCACTGCTGAAATTAACAGAAGCAATTTCTAAAGGCTTCCAAAGAGAATGATTTAAAAGAGGAAAGCCAGGCTGCATGCCCTCTTTTACAGCTGCCCGAAATTCTGGGTCTTATAAATACATCAGACTGTCCCGTGGAAACCCAAGTGTGATTCCACCCCTAGCAAGATGGCCATGTGGAAGGGACAGTAGCATTGAACAGGACTGTTCAGAGGCGAAGACAAAGACTTCCTGTTTTACATGTCTTCCTTTAAGTAATTGTGCACTGCCTGTGTTCTTAGGAATGGCAATGTAGCTTCTACCTACAAGCATACCTTGGAGATGTTGCAGGTTTGGTTCCACATCATGTGGGTTTCTCCCCGAGTGCATGTAAAATTTATGTTTATACTATACCATAACTTACTAGGCACGCAATAGAACTAGGCTAAAAATAAAGTGCATGCTTATTTTAAAAACTCCCAGTATGACCCTGATACATGAACTGAGTGCATGCTGGTCAAAATGGCACTGACAGACTTGTTTGGTTCAGGGTTACCACCAACCTTCAGTCGGTGAGGCTCAATAAAGCAAAGCCCAGTAAAACCAGGTCTGCCTGCTTCTCCCTGCCTTGGTCCTGGACCAAACGCTCAGACACATCCGTCTTAAGTGGAACACTGGGACCATGAGCTGAATCCCGTCACGTGGTCTAGAGTGCAGCGAAGGTTACGGAAGAATATCTTCTAGTTCCTCACCTCCCACAGGGAGACCTATAAATCACGGCTGTAGAGATGCCAAGGAGGATTTAGTTCATCACCAAAAACCCATCTGATGGGCTGGCATTGTGGTGAAGTGGATTAAGCTGCTGCTTACAACACCAGCATCCCATATGAGCGCTGGTTCAAGTCTTTACTGCTCCACTTCCAAACCCACTCCCTGCTAACGGCCTAAAAGCAGCAGAAGATGAACCAAGTATTTGGACCTCTGCCACCCGTGTGTGTGGCCTAGATGGAGCCCCTGGCTCCTGGCTCCTGGCTCCTGGCTCCTGGCTCCTGGCTTCAGCCTGACCCAGTCCCTACCATTGTAGTCATTTGGGGAATGGAGCCAGCAGATGGAAGATCTCTCTCTGTAACTCTGCATTTCAAATAAAAGAATGTTTAAAGAAAGGAAAAACCATTTGGCTCGGCAGCTCAATGTCTACCTCTCCACTTGAGCAAATAACTCAACACATTGTAATTTTTAAGGAGCTTATAAAATCTAGTTGCATCCCTCAGTAAAAAGTAGTTGATAATATTTGTCATCTAGATGGTCTGTTCTGAAGATTAAAAAAAGACACTGGATTTAACTCACCTCTTTCTCTAAAACCAACAGAGCTTCTTCTGGAATTAACAGAGAATAGAGCTTATTGAAAAAGAGAAGACTTTTTCAGACACAGATAAATATTAACCACATTCACAAAACCAAAAGAATTATTGATCTTTCAATTCAGGGATCTCCCTTAGCCTCAGTTATGTAGTACACATAAAAGTGGTTGGAATTTTTTGACAGAGCAATTCAAGTAACTGCTTCAGTTACCTACAACCTTTTATTTTTCATTTGCCTCGAAGGCTGAAAAGAACTTTAAAAATAATATAGCTACCTTTTAATTATTCATGGACAAATGTTAGCAATGTGAGAATCTGTTTTACCTTCAGACTTTTACTGCCAGGAATAAAAGAGAAATTAATAAAATCATTTGCCAACTATTTTTCTGCCATATTTGCATTTGAGCTTTTTTGCTAGCCATATTCAGCTAAAATATTTTATCACTCACTCCTACATGGTGAAGCCAGTAAAAGATAGTGCTTACTTTATATCGGTCATTTGTACTTCTCTAAGAAATAACACTATCAAATTCCAGCATGGATTAGGATGCCAAAAAAAAAAAAAAACCTAGCTGAGTTAAATGACTGGAGAACTGTGTATAAAATTGTGAATTCCCACATTTCAATAAAACCACTGATAATAAAATAAGCCACTAAACACACATTAAGATGCTAGAACAAATACGTGTGGATTATCTACACAAATGCTACTTCCCCTAAGGGAAGATGATCCAAAATTGGCTTGAAATAGCTGTGCATTGACTGAGTACATGATCTGCATGTCAGCCTAACACATTCAGTGCTAAAATACACTTCTAATTTAAACCTCTCTGAAGGAAGGAAATAACTGCCCAGTGACCTCTGCGCAAACATAAAATTGAATAAACTGCATATTTCCATCAATCCTGGGACCCTTCTCCAATAGAAGACTTTTCTGAATTTCATAAAGCTATTCCATCTTACTCAACTTCTGTAATCCTTTTGATAAAGTGCATTGTCACTTTGAAATGAAATATATGTAATAAAACAATGCTATTTTTATGTCACAAAATGAATATTTTGTATTCTGCATTTGCGGTAGCAGGTATGTATGTTTGCATGCAAAACCAAAAACTGAACAGAATAAATACATTTTCAGAATTGACAAATTAAACGATACATCTGTCCAGACATGGAAACAAATTGCTGAAAACAGTGTTATTTACTACAGAACTACATGACTCATTTTGCAATGCCTGGGCTCAGGGAGGAAAGGGAAGAAGGAATGTATTAATTACACATGATGAATGACTTGACACTTCCAGGGTGCTGTGATGAAGACCAAGTTTTGAAGGGTTTTCCCAGGGGGTTGCTTCATGCTACGAATGAGTACACTTTTCTTCATATTTTAGCATTTTTAAAGACTTAATAAACAGAGCAGAAACGCATTATACATTGTGGCACACAGGAATGCACACACACACACACACACACACAATCTTGTCACTTAGTGACGGGGACACATTCTGAGAAATCCTTTGTTGGGCGATTTAGCCACTGCGTGAACATCACCGAGCACACTTATTTAAACACAAGAGACACAGAAGAGCCGCAATGAGACTGCTGCCAGCCCCACCTGGCTCAGTGTCACAGTCAACTGTATTTTTGAGTGAGTGCACTCCACAATGACAATAAAAACCCTCATAAATACATAAAGCAGGAACACAGTCATTTTACCATGATGCAATACTGCAGTATGTGCTGCATGCTTGCACACCGACGGTGCAGGCTGGTCGCACCAGCAGCACTACACACACGAGGGTCACACTTCAGGCGCCAGTGTAACAGTGGCTACAACATCACCAGGTGGCAGAAATTCTGCCACTTGCCTTATAATCCTTCAGGACCACTATCATAATCATAAACTCAACAAGCCACAGTAGAGTGACATGTTGCTTTGTGGTACCTGACTGTACTTGTATTCAGTTGCTCTCAACAGACAACAAGTCAACTCCTGGGATGGCCCCCACCGCTTCTTGTAGCTACTGTAAACTAGTGATTCTGTTTCTCCCTGCATTCTAGATGGTACCCTGTTGTCTTCTCAGCATTTGGCACCTCCTTCAAAACAGCAAGAGTAACATGCTACAAAGTTAATGTAAAATAACCACCACCTGGGGTCAGTGCTGTGGTATGTTGGGTAAAGCTACTGCCTACAGCGCCCGCACCCCACATGGAGGCCAGTTCAAGTCCCAGCTGCTCCACTTCCAACCCAGCTCCCTGCTAATGCTCCTGGGAAGGCAGAGGAAATGGCCAAAGTCCTTGGGCCCCTGCACTCACATGGGAGACCCAGAGGAAGTTCCTGGCTCCTGGCTCCAGATTGGCACAGCTCCACCTATTGCAGTCATTTGGGGAGTAAACCAGCAGATAAAAGATATCTCTCTCTCTCTCTGCCTCCCCTCTTCCCTCCCTCTCTCTCTGTAACTGCCTTTCAAATAAATAAATAAATATTTTCCATAAATCAATAAAATTAGCATTACCCTTAAGAGAACGGTGGGAAAGCAATAACCTCATTTTCAAAAATGACATTATCCTAAAAGCCTACATCCTAACATATCAATATTGACTTTTGTTTTGAGAATTGCACCATTAGGAACAATGACACCTCCTATTTTAGAAACTGTATTTCCAAAGCTATAAATTCAGACAGTCCCAAAGTTTTTTCAATCACGCATACCAGGAATTCATACAATAAATCAGGAACTCTGAAATCTCTAAATCCTAAACAACCCTCTTCTTCCTCCTTCCAGTAGGATACAAAAAGGAACACTGCCTCTTTCCTTACGGTTGTGCCTCATATTTTAGAAGCACAGTTAAGCTCTAGTCATGGGAAGTCCAGGGAGAGAGAGAAACTGGTAAGGAAAAACTATTCCTTCTGAGTCATCATGGATACCGTGAATTGGCCCCTAGATCCTTGAAAACAACTCCCCAACAGAGTGGATTTGGGAATTCAGTGTCCAAGTTCCCATGATTTTTGTTGGAGAGGTTGCTCTGTAATGTGTAATGCTGGGACCAAGGTCTTGCCATAAACAGAAACTGAGATTTCTGCCCTCCTCTTTCCTCAGCCCAGCACGGTACCTGCCCAACTCACTCATCACCAAACACCGCCCAGGCACTCCTAGCGTGAGGCAGTGGAACAGCCTCTTGGTCTGCCCCTCTCTCCCCCATCCATGTACGCCGGCACAGGCTACCTGCCTGCCTCAGATCTGGCATGGAACAGGCACAGACCAGCTGCGATCTCAGTGAGTGAACTCGCCTTGCTGTTCAGAGAGGGATCTGCAGGGATTCCTGCATTGACGCCGACGTGCCGTGTCCAGAGTCATCAAACCATGGGCCGAGAGTGGTGTCCATCGCGTGCACCTTGCCCGAGTGCACCAGAAGACTTCGCTGGCCTGGGCAAGAAACAGAACTCCTGCCTCTTAGGGTCGGGGGAGGGGTCCCACCACAGGTCCCTGGGGACCACCGAGCCTCTGGCCGTGGCAGGAGCTGGGCAGGAGCGGGGCCAGTGACCCAGTGCCAGGTGCAGGACGACTCCTCCCCCAGCACAGCAACCGCTGGACTGTGGAACTGCAGCACCTGTGGTGCAGCGTTGATCTGGGGGAGGCGCTCCCTCCTCCCCAGATGAGCCTCACAGCCCTGTGGCTCGGGCGCTGAGTGCAGGAGACAGCGCGGGGTCCCCACGGCTTCTGTTTCTGGGGCACGGAGAACAGGACGCACCTGAAGTCCTTGCACAGCTCTGGGGCCGTCTCCAGGTAAGAATCAGCCGTGCACACAGTTTTCATTCATTTTCAGCTAAAGACATGGGTTCCTGGGTAAAACACTCAGAGCTCTACTTCTTGGGTCCTCTGCCATCACTGTCCGTGTGTGTTCCTCAGTTAACTGCAGCTGCAAGCTCATGACGTGGAAAAATAAACAAACAACAAGGGCTGGAAGATAGGACGAGGAGGACCGTGGGATTTTTTTTCAAAGAACTCATCCTTGCTGCACTTTTACTGGTTTACTGTTTCCAGGAGGCCACGCTGACGTAACTACTGCACATTTCCTTCCCGTTTCTTACAGAAAAACTATTCTAAATGTCACATCCCATGATCCCCTTGGCAGGCACTAATTAGGGCACGGGTTTTGACCAGAATCAAGTTGCGCAAAGCTCTGGTACTAGGACTGAGGAAACAAACTTCCTCTTTGCCTCCTCTCTGGAAACCAGCTGTTGATGAGTCGGCTGCGATGGATTTCCAGAAAGCCCCAGAAGTCTCTCTAGCAGGGCTAGGGGGCTGTGCTGGGACCACACCCTGGGCTTGCCAGTCACTTCCCTTCCACCCAGGGAGAACTGGACAGGCACCCCCTTCCACTTCAGGAGCAAGGTGTGGAGAGCTGGGAGGAGGCCCGGCCACTCCCCTGGCCTGGGATGACGAAGGGTGACACCAGCCAACCCCTTCGGGCTCCCAGTGTACCCATCACTGTGTGTCCGGCTCAGAGCCACACGCTTTACCGCAACTGGATCCGGTTCATCTTCACAGCCACCCAAGGAGGCATGCGATGCTGTGCACCCACACTCAGAGGGCAGACATCCTGCCCAAGGACGCGCAGGCCGTGCAGGAGGGGCACCTGCAGGTCCCGATCCGGACCAGAGCCCCGGGCTGCTCTCTCCAGCCGCAAAATCGCGGCTCCTGAGACCCTGAAAGACCAACCACACAAGAAGGCTCTGCTTTGAAAGATCGCTTTGCTCCACGGTACCTCGCTATGTGCTCTCCTATATTGGAGCGATGATGGCCTTTAATTTAAAGAAAAAAAGTCTACACTGTCTTTAAAATATGAGTTAGGCATTTACGTGAGAGCATAATTAATAACTCCAGTTAATTGGAATTGCAATTCTGACTCCTCCGTGTACAGGCTATTAAATCACCCAGGACTGTACTGCGGCCTCCTGGGGACACCTGCGTCCCCACTGCGGTGCGCCAGCGCCATCTGGAGGCCGTGCTCGGCAGTGCCGCTGCGGCCACCGCCAGCCCCTTCTGCTGCCCCTGCAGACTGTAGGCGACTTCGGCTGTAAAGACAGTTCTTTTCTCCCTAAGGCGTGTTCACAAAAGCCAAGCCTTTGAGCCAAATACAGTGCAGATGTTTTGGGGCAGGGAATTTGAGCACAGCAATCAGGAGATCCAAGCGTTGCTTATAGAGTTCTGTTGTGGCCGTGTGAGGAAGAAACGTGCCACTTTGTGTGCACCGTGGCCAGTTCCCACCCCCCTGCACATCTGTCCAGTACTCATCACATAAGCTGCCAGATGTTTCCAAAG